ATGCGCTCCAACACAGGAGCATGAAGCGCCCACGCAGTCGAAGCTGCAAACCAGTTTCACGAGACAGACACCATTCGGCGAAACGCGTCACGTCACTATGGTTAATACCACCGCCATTTTGGTGGTGCAGCTAGGAACTTTCGCCCTGATTACATTCACCATAAAGCATCTAGCATACCGCAGCATGGAAAGGATCAAGTGATGGCGACGGCTGCGGCTGACCAACTGTCTAGTCACTTACTTTAAGTCATCGACTCCGCAACTAACATTTCCTCCTGGTTGACATTGGTGCCGAAGTAAGCGTTCTAACTCGAAGAACGGAAAATACCTACCTTCCTTACCGGAAGTCGACTTCAGGCGGATGGCAGCACTAAGATCCACAAGAACAGCCAGAAACTGCCAACCCGTGATCTCGGGCTAAGGTAACTCTTTTCTTTTGTCTTCCTCACAACGGACGTCCAACATATGTTCACTGGCATCAACTTTATTACGAAGTATGGCTTGATTGTAGACCTACGCTGCAAGGAACTCCGCAACAGTGTCACATCTCTTACCGTCCCGGGTTGAGTTGCCTCGATTAGCTTAATCGGCCTCCGAATGTCGCTACCGACCGAAAGCGTACGCAGTGAACTGACTCATTAATTTCCGCATTACATCAGTCGTCCGACGAATTTTCAGACCCAAAGCAAAAGATAGCACACTAAATGCTTACTACCGGACCTCCAGTTGATGCTCGATGTCAACGGTTGCTAACGGATAAACTCGCCACAGCTAAGGCTGAGTTTCAACATATGCTGAGTCTCGGTAACATTCGATCGTCAAATGGATAGTGGTCTCCGCTGCACATGGTCTCTAAAAAGTCAAGCGGGGACTGGCGACCATGTGGAGACTACCGCACAGTAAACGATGCGACTAACTCAGATAAGTATCCCATTCCCCACATTCACGACATTTTTACAGATTAACACTGCAAACCTATTTCCACAAGATCAATCTTATCTGAGCGTACTACCAGATTCTTGTTGTCCCCGAAAATATCCCCGAAACTGCCATAACCAGCTATTTCGGCATTTAGGAATTCTTCTGCATGCTTTCTGATTTAGAAACGCTGTACGGTTCATCGACCAAGTCCACAGAGGGCTCGATTTCATCTTCCTTTGCATCGACGACTTTTCGTGGGGAGTTCGAACCAAAAAGAACAACTGTCTCATTTTCGCTTGACGCTTGAGCGCATTGCCAAGCATGGTATCAAAAGAAAAGTTGATAAATGCGTCTATGGCCAGACTCGTGTTGATTTCCTTGGTCACCAAACAGATCGCGACGGCACCAGCCCGCTTTCAAAAAAAGCGCAATCTATTGCTGACTATCCTTCTCAATAGAGCCACCAGCAGACACGCAGCTGCCAAAGTAAACAAAGAGATCCACACGCTCAAGCTGTGTGCCATTAAGAGTGAGCACGGGAACGGGCGAGTGTCAATCCTGGAGCAGAATTTACACTTCGATGGGTCGAAACACAGACTCAAGTTAGATATCTCAATCGCTAAACGGTTTAGAAGGAAGTTTCGCTCAGCATCGCCAAAGCTCAGTTAGCGTTCGTCAACCTGAAGCAGTTGTGGTATCGTCGGGATGTCTCCTTCTTGATAAAGGGGCAAGTGTACAGTGCCACTGTTCGGGCGGTGTTGCTATATGGAAATGAGTCTTGGCCAGTTCGCGTGGATGACATGCACTGGCTCTCGACTTTTGATGATGGGTGCTTGAGGAGGATTGCTCGTGTGGTGGCAACAACATATTTCCAATAGTGAAGTTCGTCGTCGTGTCCTAGGGGATGCGAGTATGCCCCTCAACAAGCTAGTTTTGTTGCGTCATCTAAGATGGCTCGGTCATGTTTTGCGTATGTCAGCTGAAGGCTTGCCTTACTGCGCCCTTTTCATTCGTGCAGGGCCTGCCTGGAAGAGACCGTGTGGTGGTAAGCTGTCCACCTGGCGTCAGCATATGAAATTGTTGACTTTACAATTTGCTGCCGTTGGATCCACACGACCGCCTGGTTGGGGACCAAAGGATGAAGAGTGCCGATGGCTGGAAACATTGCAAGATATGGCGCGTAGTCGAAACCAGTGGAAGATTTGTGTACATATTTGTCTAGATTCAGAGATGTAATGCTTAACAATAAGAACGACAAAAAATGAAAAATGGCGTGCGAAAAATAGCAAAAACGGTTTCGTTCTGCTTATGGTGCAATAGCTGAAGTGTGTTGCTCACCTTCAGCTAAGGCGCCATGCTGATGATACGGTTATTAAACCTGTATTCTTCTTATGATTTGCATGGTATTGTTTGGCTCTACGTCTATTCGTTAGACTATTGCCAATACATACACACATTGCTGACTATCCCATGCCGCAATCCATTAAAACTTTGTGCCGCTTTCTTGGAGTGGTAAACTATCATAGCCGTTTTATCTCATACTGCCCCAGACTCCTCCAGTCGTCGACAGACTTGCTTAAATACATGTGTTACAAGTTTGAACCAAAGGCGGAAACAACGATAGCTTTAGGAAATATCCAATGCCATTACGCTTAGCTACCTGAAGACCGACGTGGGAATTTCCCTTGTTCTTAGCATCGACGCGTCACAGATTGACGTTGGGCCTGCACTAGAGCAAGCAGGAAAAGATCAGGGTGAGCTTATCCTAAGCTACAAACCGCCAAAACGAGATACAGTACTATTTATCTCGTCGCCAGGCATTTCCGACATCTGCCATTTACCATTGTTACCGAACATATGCCGCACACTTTTGTTTTTATCGGATCGCCCGCGAAACTCATCACGATTATATATCACAGTTCAACATATTGATGCAGCCAGTAACATCGCCGCCGACGCGATGCCCCATCTTGACCTGCACCAAGTATCAAGACAGCCAAGTAACGTTGAAGAAACCGCTGTTCATTAACAAGAAGATCACGAGTTCCAGCAGCTGAGATTGAGTACGTCCCTCAAACTGTAGCTCCTGCCTATTCTGAATTCGGATTTCAGAATCTACTGTGAGTTGCCCACTGACAAACTATGACCATTCGTCCCACAACAGCATCAACGAGTTGCATTTGATCACTTGCATGGCATTTCACACCTGAGCATAGTGCCACTACCAAGATGATAAAAGATCGTTACAACTGGCAAAACATGCGCCCGGATAGCCGAGAGTAGACAAAACACTGCATCAATTGTCCAAATAGCAAGATCCAGCGCTACGCCAATACCGTGCCCGGCACATTCCCCTGTCTGATGCCCGTAACAAACATGTCCATCTCGACATCCTCTATCCAACGATTTCACCTATTTGCTGACATGTGATCGCTTCACGCGTTCACATCACGTAGCGCCACTACGGCACAGTTCAGCCGAAACAGTCGCCAAAACGTTCATCGAGACGTGGATGTCCGTGTTTGGCACGTCTGTCACCGTCACCACGGATAGAGGGCCTCAGTACAGCTCTGCCTTGTTCCGTAACCTAAACCGCATGCTCGGTTGTTCGCATCTATGCACAACAGCTCACCACACCACTGTCAACGGGCTAATTGAACGTTTCCACCGACAGCTCAAGGATGCAGTTAGTGTTACGCAATCGAATGCTCAGTGGTTCTAGCGTTTACCAATCATCCTTCTCGGTACTCGTAATATGATAAAAGATAGCGGTTGTAGTTCAGCTGAATTAGTCTTAGCCACAATACCTAGACTTCCCAGTGAAATCGCAGTGGATTCGAATGATAGGCGAAGTATACGCAGCTTCGTGTGTTGCACGTTTGAAGCAACACTTTACTGCGGTTCGTCCAACGCCACCTCGATCAAACATTCGAAGTCAATGGATTCGCCCCGACCTGCTTACCTGTCCTTTTGGCTTCGTGCGCGTCGACACAGTCCGTAGTCTGGGGCCTTACGAACGCCTCTTCATAGTTCTAGCACATAAGGAAAAGTACTTCGTGTTTGGACAGAAATGGGTGTAAAGAACCCGTTAGCATTGAACGCCAAAAGCCTGTCTAGGTAGAACTGCAATCACCTCATCAAGCTACCGACAATTGTATTCATGAACAGACTCCGCTACAAAGCACCCCGCCCAATCAGCCGACGTGGGACCCCAGTTTTTCCTCCTCACTCCTGTCCACACCTGTCGCAAACGCCGATATACTGCAAACCATCGTACTACGTCAACGTTCAATCTCGTTTGCTATGCATTTAGGATACCAAGAGAACTTGTTTTGACAGGAGTCGTGACATCTACACCAACTGCAGTTTCTTGTTGGGAAGAGAGCTGGGTAGGCGAAATGAAATGCTTAAGGATTCAGATGTGAGTCTGCTACAACGCAAAAAAGGAGAACATCTCTTGGTTTGCTTAATACGCTGTTCGTTCCCACAGAAGCCTGATTCAAGCCGAAGAATAGGAAACAAAGTGCGAGAACTTGATCGCAAACTGCAAAATGTACGCGTGGGTGGATTGTGCTTAAATAACAGCATTTCCGGTGAGCTCAGATTGATAAACGGAAAGTCCTGTGGTATTATGTAGCATCTCAAACACGTTAATCGTCTTAAGAGTGGCCACCGGTTCTTGAAAACACCTCAAGAAAGCATTGTTTCCCTTTGAATTTTTGATACCATCTTGAAATTCCGAGAAAGAACCAGTTATTTTATAAGAAAAACGCGGCTAGAAAACAAAATGTTAAGGACCGTACTCGTCTACCACATAACCCACCAAGAACAAGAATCACAGAATACAGAAAACGAGTAAGTACTGTACAATTAGCAGCGAAAAGCATGTATAAGCTATATAACCTGCATGCACATCCACAGAAGCTACTCAGAGCATCAAGTCTGAAGAATTGAGCCCTGTGATCAAGGCCGAAAAGTGGCCTAAAATATATGTAGGATGGGAAAAGAATTAGCAAAGTAACCCAAAGCGGAACAAGTAACTAACTCAAATAGAGTAAAAAGCTTGCGTAAAAACTTACCATTGCATAACTTGATATAACGGTTGAAGGCACAACCAACAACAGGCTTTTGATGAATAGCACTATACATTTGACAGAGCAATCAAGTAGCACAATAGACCACAATGTTGTGCCCCAAGAAGAAAAAAGGCTGGATGGCGAGATGAAGGCAAACCTCAGGAATTATTAATAATCTGTAAACTTACATAAGATATATGTCTCGTTCCCTTAAAGAGTAATTCATAAAACCCATACAAAAAATTAGAAAAGTTGCAAAAAATAAACACCGGAGAGATGGACATCCAAGGTCTTTATCGATAAGGTCTACCTGTGAAGAGACAAGCGCGCCGGCTTACCTGCTTGCAAGCGGGAATTCACGTAAACTGTACTTATGAACAACCAGGCCAAGAGAAGAATATCTGGCAAAAGGTAAGAAGTGATTGAGACTGTTACTTACCGATGTAGTGCTCCATGTAGGTTTTCAAAAGCAGCAGAAGGAAAAATGCACCATGCAACAAAGCTCGAAAGCTCACTGATTTGCTGGGAACGCCACTGACGCCAACTGAATCAGTTCCAATTGGGGCATCGGAGATACGAGTAAAACAAACCATAGCGAGTAACGTAAACTGCTACCCTGAAATTGTCATCAGATAATGAAAGCAAGATGGTTCCCTACGGTCGATTTTGCGAATGTTGAATATGGCAAATAAAGAAGGGGGAGCACCTACGTCAATCAGATATGATAGAAAACTGTGAATCGGTTTGTGATAAACAGTTCTAATGATGACACATCTTCCGGTTATGAATACTCCCCTGCGATAAACAAAAGATCCGGTGAGCAGTGTATGAAAAAGTGAAAAAGCATAAGTAGACGTGAGAGTCTAAAAAGGCAAAGGAATACAAATGAGGAAGGGTGGGATGCAGGGGTGGTTCGTACCATTAGTGTCATCGGGAAATAGTTCGCAAGAGGACATTTATTTGAAAGTCTTGAACACCGACCTGATGGCATCGAACACTATCGGTGTGCATGTCAGTAGGTCAAATAATGAATGAGAAGTGAACGGATAGGATTGATGAACCCAAAAGTGAACGGCTGAGGCAGCTTTGTTTTGGTCACAAATTCGGGTAAGTAATCGCGATTCGACCACGGAGGTATGGTAGATTCTAACCTCGTAGAATACGTAGGGTGAAAATCAAGTAAATGCAAGGACTACGATACTGCAGAATAAAAATTACATCCTTTGAAGTCGATGAAGCAAGACAGGTTCCGAAGTGTCGAGACGGATTTCGACGCCTGCCGCTGAACCTTCCCTATCAGAGCGCATTCGGTCTTTGTAGGAAAAATCGGTCGCACATGAGAAGTGAAAAGAATTAGGACGATTTTCAGATTCACTTTGGGAAAAGATCTCCTTATAGCAAAGAATATCTTATTGGCAGTGTTAACTTTTTTCAAGGTGTCCTGGGTTGTGCGTCCTGAGCAGGAAGACTCCAATGTGATAAACACCAATCGGGAGGACAGATCACTTGTCGTGATTGATAGATAGCCGCCACTCTACTGACCAGCTGTGCAACCAGTCTAGCGTTGCTTGTAGTCGGTCAACATCTTCAAGCCTCGAACCTCCAGCCATAGCTTCAGATCATCAGCATACATCAGTCAATCTATTTGGGGCTGTGACGGAAGATCACTGATGAGGATTTTGATGAGCTTATGACTAAGGACAGAGGACTGTGGTACCGTGCTGATCATAAAACAGAAGCAGGGAGGGTATATTCACCTTTACTTGCATGCTAGGGTAATTCAGAAAGTTCGCGATCCAGGAGAGGATCTTCTCGGAGATGCCAATTCCGTGAAATGTGAGACGTTCATGAGAGACCTTGTCAAATGCATTGCTAAAATCAACAAAAACAATATACTGATGATTGCCGGCATCAATTGACTTAACACACTTCTTGCGGGCAACAAGCAGATTGGTGATATAAGATTGTGCCCTGTGAAAATCGTGCTCAGCAGGAGTAGTGATATCCAGAACCTTGAGATGAAGCTGAAGGGACCGTTTAAGAAATGTTTCCATGGTCTTGTAAATGATCTACGTTAGGCAAATCGACCGGTAGTTCCCATTGTAGATAGACTCCACCACATCTACTTTCCAATCAAGCGGTAGGCGGCCAGCATCGAGTGCCGAAACAAATTTGCTCCGCGACATACGCAGATACTGTCTTGGGGAACAACGGGTGCAAATCATCAAGACCTGGCGAGAAGTTCAGGTAAAATCTGCGGAGTAATCTCAACACCATGTTCATGTTGATTTCGATGTGCTCCAAGGGAGTGGGTGCGTATGTTCATAGATATTGATTAGCACGACCTCAGTTGAGTACAGTGAGGAATAATGCGAGGCTAGAAGACCGGCTTCTGCCTCGTCATCAGGAAGTATAGATTCATCATTTTGCTAATACAAAGCAGGTATACCATAACCCATCTTGGCACTTTTCAGGTACGAGTAGTTGCTTTGGGTTACACAGGGATCATTCAGCTAAGCGACGCTCATACTGCTCCACTTTCGCGTTTATTTTCAGTGTATACAAGTTCCTGATCACAACAATCAGACGCCGACCGTGAGAACTTGAACCTGTTTCAGAGTTTTGGTCCCTTACGCAGTAAGGATCTCAGTTCCTTATCAATCCAAGAAGGGCATTTGGAAAATGGTCTGCCGGCAAAGGTTGGATCAATTTCATCGCTAAGAGTGCGCAGAGGGTAGCAAGCAGTATCGAAATCCAATTTATTGAGTGCTCCAGTCCATGGCGCTTGCGGGCATTTGTAGGAGGAGTGGTTCAACACACCAGAAGTTTCGGTGAGTTACGCCTCGGTGTTGGATCATCGGGTTTGCAGAAAGAGAATCACACAAGAATCACTTGACCCAGATGGTTGGAGAACCTCTAAACCAGAGACATCAGATGGCTGAAATGAGAGCACTAGGTAGGGGAAGTGCAGCGACTGACCCGGAATTATATCCTTAAATGATGAGAAATGCTGTTGGACTCGCTTCGAAAACAGTTCCGAATAAAATAGCATCGAATAATTCTGGAAAGATGACAGGGAGGTAAATCCGTTTCTGTTTAGGGCATTAAAGTCCCTAATTATTAAGTAAGCCTTGTCTCCGCCGTGCGTTTTTATCGAGTCCAGTAATCAGGATCCAGAGCCCAGTGGGGATATGTAGACAACATTAATCATAACTGTATCCTTCGTGGACATGACACAGTATTTTGGAATCCCCAATGTCACAAATAGCATCTACGGTAAGGACCCGCAATCCGAACTTCCACTAGAGCATGACGCCACCTCCAGGTCTGATGTCAAGATGATCAGCCGCGGAAAATTGATAATCAGGAAGGCGTAGTTCAGAATCAAGAATATCCTGAGACAGCCACGACCAAGTAGAATCCATCAGGTCAGGATGATACTGTAAAGTAAGAATTTGAATCTTATCCAGTTTATTTCGCAAGCTACACACTGGCAGACATTACATGCAGTCCAATTCTAGACCATAGAGCGTGGGTGCGACAAAGACTGGTCACCTTCAAGCTATTAGAGCCATGGTAATTACGGGAAAATCCAGTATGGAGGTTAGTCTCACCATTGGCTCGGTGTGTTCGCACTTCATCAACGGCGTTCTTCATCCTCACTCGGACTTCTAATCAGATCCCATAAGACATGGAATGTTTCCTCTTAAGACGCAAGATTAGTTTGAGGACATGACGACGTTCCTTTTCATCTTCAAGTTCAGGTGGGATTAGGAGGATCGGAGAATCCCGTGAGTGCTACTTCTTGAGCGCATGGTTGAACCAGGAGCTGGTAAGATGCTCGGAGGTCTAGAGGTAACTAAAACGAAACACCATAATCACACTCTAGTCGACCAATTATTACACAAGTTTCCTACACTAGGAGTCCCCGCTTTGTCAGTTACGTGAAGCGGGGAACGGAAGACCGAAGATAAAGGATAGAGAAGATAATTAGGAGAAAGTATAATATCAAGATGTGAAAGTGCAGAAAAGGTAGTGTGAAAAAGGGGGTAGTCAGGAAAACAGAGGTTTCCTGTTGTCACCCAAGAGCATCTAGTTGACGCTCAAAAGCCTTAAGCGTAGGTTCCTTGGCAACACATTTTGGAATCGAGTTCCAGCGTTTGATGAAACCGAGCGATACACAAGTTTCCGCCCTAATCCGGTCAAACCAATGTTTGGTCAGCTACATGAAATGCTCGCGGGGACCAGATAATCTAGCAGGAGCAATAACCAAGACAAATCCGAACCAACTTGCTTAATAAAAATACGGCAGGTTCAAGTTCAAGTTCACGTGGGACCGTGAAGGGGTTGCCTTAGAGAAGGCGGTTGATACAAGAGCAAAAATTGTGGAATCACCTGCAAAAAGAAACCAAATTAACACACGAGGTTCCCTCCACTGTGAACCAAACAATGCTCACAAGTCCTGCACTAGCAGCCCCGCTGTGCCGGCCACGTGGAAAGAAAAATGGAAAAGCAAAAGCAAGGCAAGCTGAAACAAGGAATGCAGCAATTTTGTAGGGAATATTAAAAGATTAAAGGGGGATAAGCAACAACAAATAAGTGCAAATCTAAGATGTAAAGAGGAAGGTTTTAAAACAGTCCAAGGGCATCGAGTTGGTGTTCGAATCTTTTCACCGTTGTTACCAGCACCACTTCCGAAGGAGCGCATTCCAAGATCCTATAACATTGCGTGAAAACCGAGAAGCAGTTCAAACCCAGGCTGACAGACGCTTGTGTAACTTCAGTGGATGACCACAAAGAGTTGGCACCCGAGCGGGATGGAAAAGACCAGAGAAAGCAGGGCCTACCTGACCCGTATGCATGTGATAGATGAGGAACAGATCTCCCCGAAGTCGCCTGTAGTACATCGAAGAAGTGCAGAGCGTGATGACAAGCGTAGTCGAGTTTATTGATATCAAAAGTGCCTTTGACTCGGTGGATCGGTGTACACTTTGGAGGTGTCTGCTCAGGAAAGGTGTGCGCAAAAAATACTTAAACATTATCAGAGCGCTACATGCGCATAGTTCGGAGAGAATGAGGGTTTATGGCAAACTGTCGATGCTCTGCAATTTCTCCAGCGGTGGGAGACAGCGTTTCCCGTTGTCATCTTTCATCAGCATCATCTACAAAAACAACAGCATTACATCGGTCACTTGGACTGATGCTTTACTGCGGTACAACCAAGGTGACTTAAGGAGAGGAATAACAGGAAGAGAAGAAGGACATAGTATAAAACATTAGTGTCCTAAGCAAACAGTCAGGGTGCCTACAAACTGTCAACAACATACCATCACAAACTGGCTAGCGTGCAGAAATAAGGCGGTATCAGCGACAGCTACTTTTCGGCTTACATTGACCCGCGTCATAATCAGCCATCACCCCGCAGATAACGCAGCACCAACAATTTAGACAGGCAGTCCGACTACGAGACGACAGCAGACACGCCACTGGTGCCGACTGCGAGCCATGTTCTGCCTCCTCCACTTTTGAGCAATACTGGTCCACCAGACTCGGCTTTGATTCGCATTCAATGGTCTGTTTAGTCACATTGTGCTCAGAGCCAGCCGTATCGAAGCAAGAACAAGGTGGGTTACGTGGACTCAAGCCTGCAAACCCAGACGGAGCGACGGCATCCCATGTTGTAGTTAGTGACTTCATTCCACTCTGCTAAGTCAACGTTAAGCCACTTCGAGCCTTGCGCAAGCCTACATGTAACAAACAAAACAAGGCCCTCCTCGGTAAGTAGTGACTGGAAGTACGTGGTGCGTGCCCAAACCAACGCAACTTATTCAGTGCTACCTGTTGATCTAAGGAACTAGCAAGATTACCACTGTCTAGCACTCGCAGCGCATATTATCGGTGCGGACAGGCTGGCGCCAGCCGACACCAGCAATGATACGCAGCCAGTGAAAATAAAAAAAATTGAAGTCCCCGCAGGTTCTCAGATCGAACGGGCCAGGTCTCACTCCCAT